CATTGTGGGCCACATGCAGCCCATGGGCCGAGAGTTTGACATGCTTGTTATATTCCTGCTGGGCCAATGTGCTTGCTGTGCAGAGTGCCCCAAAGGTATTTCTCAGCTTTGGGTGGGACCATTGTGACCTTCCTCAACAAAGGCCTTGCAGTTTCAAAGAGTTTAGATAATTTGAACTTAGCAGCCTCAGTGGTTCTCTGAAGCCCACAGTATGTTTAGTGCCAGATTTAGATGTTAAGTGATGGAATTATGGAACACAAACATCATTTGGAAAGTGGTCATTCTAACAGATACATATTTAAATCTCTTTGGAAAACTGTATCTTTTTAGCTTGCTTGTATACTAAGTAAACGACACATCCCCAGCATGAGGTCAGAGCCTGATCCATGGCTGTGAGTCAAAGACAGCAAGGTGGGGAGAAGTCCAGAGATTATAAAGCTCTAATTAAACCTCTTTCTTATTTCAGGTAATACTTGATGAACGTGCAGTTTATTTGGCATGCAACCCAGGGACCTTGTTAGGCTCGCGATAGCCCAAGGCAATAGGGAGAAAGAGGCTGCTGAGGATTGGCTCTGTCCTGGGCTGTCAGGAGAAAGGGTCAAGGTTAGAAGTGGGTGGGAGGGGGATTAGGGAGTTTGGAGGAGTCCACAGGGGAAAGCAGAAAACACAGTTGGTGTACATATGACTAGACTGTCTTCTTTTTGTGTGTTTCTCAGGAAACAGTATAGTATTAAAATACTGAGAGTTCAGGTAGAAAAAAATCTTTGCCAACTCTGGGCACAAACATTCCTGTTCATTCTTTCATTTCATTAATCCATTCATTTAGCATATTTATTGAGCAACTATGACCCTGAGAACTGTTCTAGATTTTGATGATACAATAGAGCAGTGGTTCTCAACCTTGACTGCACATTAGAATCTCCTGGGAATCTTTTTAAAATCCTGATTTCTGGGCCTCATCCTCCGGAAATTCTGTTTCTTTGTTACTAATGTTGTGGCCCCACCCCATAACAAAGAAACAATTTCCGGAGGATTAGGCCCAGAAATCAGGATTTTAAAAAGATTCCCAGGTGATTCTAATGTGCAGCCAAGGTTGAGAACCACTGTCCTAGAGCTTACCCTTTTATGGTGAGACAGAGAATTAACAAGCAAGCAAATATGACAGATAATTTTAATTTATGATAAATGTTATGAACAGGTGTGGACCATTTTACACAGGGTGGCTAGGGAAGGCCTCTGAGGAGGCAGATGTATTAACTAAAAAACAAGGGTGAAACGATGAACCTCACTGTGCAATAATCTAGGGAAGAGAATTCCCAGCAGAATGAATAGCAAATGCAAAGGCCCTGAAATACTCCTGTAGGGGAAGGGCGTTTGAGGAGTGGAGAAGGCTGGAGCACAGTGAGTAAGACAGAGTGGATGGGATGAGTTGAGAGCATCAGGAAGAGGCCCCATTGTCTGAGATCTTGCAGGTCATGGCAAGGAGTTGATATTTTAGTTTTGTTACAGTGTGAGTAGAGGGCAGTCAGTCAGTAGGCTGCTTTGGGTTGAGCTTCACGGGAATCCTACAACCTGGCAAAGTCATTTACTATTCAAGGTCACAAAAAGAGATCTGATTTTGGGTAACTGCTCCATATTTAACTGTGTAGCCTACCAGGACCATAGTTGCTACCAAGGAAATCTTCTTGTCTCACAGATCTGCTTTAAGACATAGCAATTAGAATTAAGTTGCAGCCATATGTCACGAACTGCCCCTATTCCCAATATCCAACAGTATCAGTGACTTATGGTGTGACCTTCATTCATTTATTAAATATTTATTAACTGCCTGTTATATACTAGGGATACCGTGGTGAACAAGACAGGTACATTCCTTGCTATCATGGAGCTTACATTCTACCTAGAAAGACTGACAATTAAACAAACAAAACGTAAATTGTTTTTATATGATCGGGAAAGTGCATTACTAGGGGAATATATAGCAGCATAGTCAAGTGACCTGGTCAAGGAAGACTTCCTGGAGGAAGTGATGTTTAAGCTGAAAATTAAGTAGAAGGCCAGCTGTAGTGGTAGAGGAAGAGTTTTCCAGATCGAAGGAATAGCATATAACTAGAGGTTTGCAAGAACATGGTATATTTTAAGTAACTTAAATATTTTCAGTATAATGAGAGGCAAGTCACATGATTGAGAAGTGAGAAATGAGGCTGGCGATGCACTGAGGAAGCTAGCAATGAGCCTAGAACATAAAAAGTCTTGTAAGGGTGTTAAAGTATCAGTACTTTATCATGAAAGTAATGGGAACTCTCTGAAGGGTATGCAAAATGGATTTGGAATTGGGAAAAGATAGTGGTAGGAAAAGTTATTGTACTAATTCAGGAGAAAGATGTTCATGATTGAACTATAATAGTAGCCATGAAGATGGAGCAAAGTTGACTAATTATAGGTGCATTTATTCTTGGTTTTAAAAAGTAACCTGAAGCCCTCTCTCTCTCTCTTTGTCAGATGAGAAAAAAAAAGAGAGAGAATAAAATTGATGGAAGCTGAAGAGGCCATGATGGGCTAAGTCAAATTTATAATGGAGCAAAACCCAAGTACATGTACTAGTAAATGCTATGAAAGATCTGCAGAGCACAATGAAAGAAAAGGGTAGTAAGAAGAAAGAGAGCATGTGGCCCATGAGAGAGGGTGGGGAGCAAGTGGTCATCCCCAGGACTAGCCTAGTTCCTGGCAACTTCCTAGGTTCAGTTTCCATAAGGTTCAGCTTCATCATTGTTCTATTCACAAATTCCCATGATCCCTGTCTTCCTCATTGCCCCACATAAGAGCACCTCTTGCCCTCCACACACAAGCTAACTTGATTTAAGTTTTGTTTCTTGAAACTTAAAGAATCTGAATAAAACAGTAATTATGTTACATAAATTAATTCTTCATGAAGCTAATAATTAAAACAACACAAATAAATATAGTTTTAGTAAAATATATATATATATATATATATATATATATATATATATATATATATATATAGCTTCTGAGTGATCATAGATGTCCATGTCCATGGATCAACTACTTTTCAATATGGTAAGCCCAACTACAATTAAAAAGTGACTTGGATAGCAAAAATTCAGAACAAAAAGTATTAAATGGCCATGATGTCTGACAACCCATTTCTCTCCATCTCCTCCAGGGGTTGGTGCTAAAGTGCAAGAAACCACTTCTGAGGGGAGAAAGCACAAACCCAGAAGCAGTTACTCAAGAAAGCATGAGGCAAGAGAAGCAAGGAGAGAATCTAACTCTTGGTCAAGAAGCCCTTCAGTATATTCCAAAGAAGTCACATCAAATATCAAGGCAGATGGATGAAGAGCTAATGGAAACCCAGGATGATTGATCATGTTGGACTTCAGGAGGATGGGGTAGAATGTGATAAAGCTCAGAGGTGTGGCAGTGGGAAGTTCAGTTCTGTTGGGTACAGCACAAGAGAATTGAGCGACCAACTATGTTTTAGGTCTTATGTGGGGGGAAAAATGAAAAGATGAAGGTCCATGTTCTTAAGGACTTATAGTCCAGTGAGAAATACAGACAACTAGACAGATTAAATAGGCAAGCACGGTGCTGTGGGTTTGCAAAGAGTATTTAAATCAATCGGGAGGAGCGGGGGCAGTTAAGATATAACAGCTGAGTTCAGGTATAAAGCCTGAGTCATAGTTATGCAGGGGATTTCAGGAAGAGAAAAATTTTAGGTGTATCTGAAAGGAGCTGAAGTACCAGGCTGTATTATTAGAATGTACAGTGAGAAGTAGGGAATAGCAGAACAAAAGGCTGGAAGGTTAAAGGGAAAATATACCATGAAAGGCATTTTTATTTCAAAATAAAAATCCTGGGCTTGATATATGTAAAAGTTATATATATATATATAATGGTATATATGGTAAAAGTTTATATATATAAACTTTATCATAAAAGTTTTATTCACTTTAATTGCAGAAATTTATGCATCAAGTATCATCTTTCAATGAAAAAAATTAGACATATAAGAAAACTGACAAAACACCATTATAATATGATTGTTAATGTGTAGCTTTTTAAATTTCAATTATCAAATACACACAAAAAATATATATTGAATAATATAATCAACAAACTATTTAGTAAAAGCATGTTAGGATACAGACACTATAAATAGTGAATACAGACAGACCTTTCTCTTTATAAACTAGAAACAGAAAATATACATTATTTCTTATTTTGATGGAGCGTCTTCTAATATTGATCATCTATTTAGCTGCAAAGAAAATCTTAATTAAAATACTTAAAAGAGAATTTATAGACCATAATCTCTGAGTACACTCAAGCTAGAAATCAGCAATAAAATTGGATTTGGTTCTATAAGAAGTCACTGAAAGACTTTTAGCAAAAGAGTGACACAAACATGTGGCTAATGGGTTGGAGAGGAGTCAAAGAGTCAGAAGGAGGCAAACCAGTTAAGGAGATATTGCAACAGTCCAAGAAAGCAATAATGTGGGTCTGAACCAAGACAGGAGTAGTGGGGAATGAGAGGGAGTAGACAATTTAAGAAATATTTAGTAGATAAAATAACCAGGACTGACTGAATTTAGACAGAGAGGAGAGTGAAATGATTAGATAGATTAAGCAGTGGCACGGTAGGAGGCAGTGTCATTAATTTAGGTGACGATTCTGAAGAGGATGCGGTGTTAGGGGAAATGGGAAGTTTATCTATGGGCTCATTACATTTGAGGAACACGTCCATAGTACAGTGTATGGAGAGAAAGAAAACTGTAAATTGCCATTACCAGCAAGATTTTCCTTCCTTGTAGAAGCAGTTCAGAACTAAGGCATGAAAGGTGAGAGAGTGTCAGGGTTCCTTTTTTATTTGGTGCCGAGGAGGGGATGGGAGTGCCTTATTGAAAGTGCTTAACAGGGCTTACCACTGCCCATCTCTTAAGCCCAGAGTTTACCTGGGAATAGTTCAGACGTGTTTAGGAGTCTGCTTAACATGAGGGCAATAAATGCCCAATCCAGTTGGGAAAACAAGACTAATGACTACACAAGTGCCACAAATGTCCACTAACACAGTAATAAATCAGGAAAGGAATATAGGACTGCTAGTGAAACCCAGAAAGTGATCTTAGTTTTAATAAGTTGAGGGAGACACATAATTCTTTCAGGTGACAGGACATATCACAAACAATGGCCCACAGACAGGAATAAGCTTGGAGCAGAAGGACCCAGAGGGGCCTGCTTGGGGGAGAGAGGGAGATGAGCCTGCAGATGTGAAAGGGATTAGAGATCAACAGGGCAGACAAAGATAGTGTCAGTAAACTACAGTTACTTCATCAGCTCTTAGTAAATTAAAGGCATGAAAATTAATTTTGCCCTGTGAGTTTTCCTGAGAGTGTCTCTACACTTCGTTGGATAATTGATATCAAGAGTGATGAGATTCAGGAGAGACGTTTTCCAACACAGACACAAAGATAAAGCCTTGTTGTTTTCTTTCACATTTGAGGATTAAAGGGCTTTAATTACTTGAGGGGGCTTAGTAAGTGTTGATTACAATGACTTAGAAAATCCTTGGGGCATCAAATGGTGATGCATTATAAACCTCTCAGAAAGTATGTGGCTCTGAAGGCATGTAGTACAGAGGAGGACATGGGGAGAAAGAAGCAGAACTGCTTTGGCCACTGAGTGATTTCAAGCAAACATGACCTCTTTCATCTTTCGTCTTCTAGTCTGTAAAATGGAAATAATAATTTCTTTATGCAACAAGTATTTTATGAGCATCTACTATGTGTAAGTTACTGTTTCACCTGCCTGGCAGAGTTATTTTTATAATTAAATGAAATAAGTGAAAGTGTCTAGAATCTATCAGGTGCTGATCATTCTTGTTTTTCTATCCACGAAGATTTTTCTACTAGAACAAGATGGGTATTAGAGCCATTGATTGGATCAAGCCAACAATGGACCAAGACACTCAGAATGTTTGTTATAAATTGCAGGGTGTCTTGCAGAAAAAAAAAAAAAAGAATTGACAGAATCACAGATCCAAGAATGGAATGAACTTTAATTTAGCTTTACATTCTTGAAGCAATAAGATGGATAAAGGGCAGCCGAAACCGGTTTGGCTCAGTGGATAGAGCGTCGGCCCGCGGACTGAAAGGTCCCAGGTTCGATTCCGGTCAAGGGCATGTACCTGGGTTGCGGGCACATCTCCAGTGGGAGATGTGCAGGAGGCAGCTGATCGATGTTTCTCTCTCATCGACGTTTCTAACTCTCTATCCCTCTCCCTTCCTCTCTGTGAAAAATCAATAAAATATATATATAAAAAAAAAGGTGGATAAAGGGCAAAATGTTGCCCTGGGAAAAGTGAAACAGGTCTAAGTTAAGGTTATTCTGGGAAGTCTGCAGGGAGTGCAATGAAATAGCAGGAGTGTTCTAAGTTAAGACCCATTGAAAATAAGAATGTCCTACTGGGTCTAAAACATTAAGAAAGAACTATAAGGTAGTTTACTTCATCAACATGCTCAGAGTTAAGGTGCCTGACAAAATAATTGTACTTCTGAGATATCGTTAACTGTAAACACTGCAATGCATCCACTGAAACCTGAAAAAAAAAAGTGAATTTGCAATTCAGAATAAATATTTTGAATTGACTGGATAGGCCCCGACAATTCAGATATTAGCATTTTCCAGTGCTCCAAGTAATTCATTTTAAAAAGGAAAAGAAGAAAAGCTGACTCAAGCTGCAAAACATGTTTTCTCCACATATTACTTTCATTTCTGAAGCAAGTTGGTTCATTGTCAAGCGGTACAGCATTTTCACTTCCCTTTTATAAATTGAATGTTTACCCAGACCCTGAAGAGCCTAATGAGGTTGGTCAAAAGTCACAATGAGATGGGATTTGCCTAATCCCCAAAGAGAGAAGAGGAAGATCAAGGCCATTTGCATGTGCCCCTTCAGTGCTCAGAGAGGTAAATAAAATTACTTATGACAATGTGTGATTGCTGTAATTATTTTAATTATTTTCCAATAGACTCTTTTTCTCCTCAAGGGCAGAGACTGTGTATTATTAATCATTGTAACCCTAACTGCTTGGAAAGCCTCTTATAGGAAAGGCTCAGTAAATGTTTTATAATAAGTGAGTGGATCAATGAATACAGAGATGGCTGGCTGGCTGGCTGGATGGATGGATGGATGGGTTCCTGGCTTTAAAGGAAAATTTCCTTAGCAATATAAGAAATGGTGCTCAAGTGAAGGGAGGACAAGATAGACTGGTTGCCTTAGACCCAATCCTAGAGTCATTGAAAAGAATAAAACTTGGATCAGTTTTTACTATAGTTTCTCTTAATCCATCCTCTCAAGACTCTGGTCTGAACCTCCAGCAGAGAAAGCAGCTATTGATAAATTAAGGCTATCTTGTGCAGCTCAAGAACAAGTTAAGAGCTCTAAGACTTTCTGAGAAGAACAGAGGCCCGTCTCCCTCATTCCTGGCCATTGGAGTAGGAACCCTAAGAATCAAGGCCTTCATCTGCCTGGGTAGACTGGGTTACAGGTTTCTTGAGCCACCGAACCATTACTCTGACAGCCTCCAAATGCTTCCCATAATGGATAGACTGTGGGGGAGTGAGGAATAGAGGAGCTTTGGGAGTGGAGTCAGTGTGGGCTTGTTTGCAGACTTCCGAGTGGCTATGGTGAGGCCCAGGGAACAATATTTGGTAGTGAGGAATTTGGTGGGGTCAGAAGCCATTGGTTGTCTACAGTATAAATCCTTTACCCCCAAAGTATCTCAGACTGAGACTGACAAGATGAAATAATAAGAGAACAGCAATCCATCTATCCCTCCAAGAAATGGAGAAATGGCCTCCTAGTGAAAGCCCCTGAAGACCTGTAAGCAGTCAGGAGAGAGTAGCCTCCAAGGGCAGTTCACTGGTGTGCAGAGCAGCGAGGAACCAAAGGAACTGGGGGCACAGAGGGGACTGTAGTTCCCCTCCCTGAGCATTGCTGACCCAAAGGCTTTTGAGAGGAGATTGTGCCACAAAAATGGTCATCAGAGATCATCTTTGCCATTCTACTGGCCTGTGGAACTTGGGAATATAGATAGGCTCTCAACTAACTATGTGAAAAACAGCCCTGGGGCTCATGTGTACAAGTGTGACCCCGATACATGATTCATACGATGCCTGAGATTCCAAGTTTATAATCCAAACATTCACCAAGATGGGGTATGTTGGAGGGGCAGGGACAAGCTTACTACACTAAGGGAAAGCTTGATTTGTAAATTATTCTATCACAGGAGGTAGCAGAGCATGTGTTTTAGGAGCATAGATTCGGGACCAAATTCTAGTGATTCAATCCTGGCTTAGTTTCTACTCTGAGACCTTGAGCAAGTCTCTGATCCCTTATCTGTAAAAGGGGGCTAATAAGAGCACCTACATCACAGAGTTGTTAAGATGACTAATGTCAATAACCCAAGTAAATCCTGGCACATAATAAGTACTCAATAAATACTAAGCAAACATATAAAATATGACTAGAATTTTAAAACTTAAATCATAGCACATTTGGCCAAACACATCCAAGATTCTTACTTAATTACCCATAAAATAGTAGTTTGTTATGGACTGGTAATTAAAGAGAATGAATTGGGACACAAATCAAATACATTATTATGATGCACTGTTTTTTTCTAAGAAACTCAAAAATCCTTTGTTGAACCCCTGAAATTTTTATGGTATATACTTTGGAAACCATTTGCATTATTGGACCAAAAATAAAAGCTATAGGCCTTAAACTGACTGTAGTGAAGTCAAGTACTTCCCATCTGGCCCATCCATGCTAGAATAATCACAGGCAACTTTTTTTAATATATGTTTCTTATTGATTTTAGACAGAGAGAGGAAGGGATAGGGAGAGAGAGAGAGAGAGAGTAAGAGAGAGAGAAACATCAATCCACTGCCTCCTGCATGCCCCCTACTGGGGATCAAGGTTGCAACCCGGGCATGTGCTGTGACCAGGAATGGGCCTGACTACCTCTAGGTGCATGGGAGGATGCTCAACTCACTGAGCAACATTGACCAGAGCTAATCATAGGCAATTTTTAAAGTTGGCTCCATTGAGGACATTCCTTCTAACATTTCAATGTGTATGAAAACAGGTATGCTCCTAATCCTATTTGAAGGGCACATGAGTGACACTGACAAGGAAAAGAATTAACAGGAGACGTTAGTTGGAGGAAATGAAATCTGTTACTTTGGGGGTTACTATGAATAGACACAGAGGCTTTTAAAACATATATAATAGAATGTTGGTGAGATACTGAATAAAAAATTTAAGTGCCTATGAAATTCATATAAAATACCAATAATGGGGTTTTAACAAAGAACATAAAAGTAGAGTGATATGCAGATTAGAAAACAAAAACCAATAGATTAACAAGCACCTTAAATCTGACCAGAGCTATAAGAAAAACTGGCCAGTGTTTCTGTCGAATCAAGTTATTTATGTCATATAAAACTGCAACATGAACTGTAATTTCTATTTCTGTTAAAAAGAAAAAAAAAAAAAGGATGACTAAATCTTCAATCTGAGAATCACTGACTTTTAAGACTTGCGGTTTTAAAATACTACTTCTGGGTGGTAAAGTGTAGGAAAAGGCCCTGGGAAAAAGTAATCTCAGGCCTTGGGAATTCTTTATCTCATATCTACCCTCTGCTGAATTTCATATATTTAATTACACATGTCTAAAAGCAGAAATGTGATGGACAAGATTGTGATTAAGTGAGAATTTTATGACAGCAACTGATTAAGAAAGCCGAGCATACATGACCAAATAAAGACTAATAAAGTTAATATCTTATTTACTTAATGTAGACTGTATTATTGTGCTGATAGATAATTGGTAAGCACTGACAGTGTAGCCTGAGGACTTTTATAGATGCAGATTATACTTTTACAGTTTAGATCTTCTCACTTGTGGTTTACACCACACTTATCACCATGGAGAAGAGGGTGAAGGTGGAGAGATTCTAGTCCGAAAGTAGATGACAGAACAGAACACATGAAAATAGGCTCTGCATTCCTGGCAATTGGAGGTCTTGGTTCAGAGTGAGAGGGAAAAAAATAAAATATTATAGATGAGTAAAGGAAAAGTTTTTCATGTGGAGATAGGAAGGAACAGGATAGGGGTGGAGAAGAGATTTGATAAAAAAAAAAAAAAGGAGGTTCTGGTGAGGTAGGTAGGCCTGCTCTTTGACAAAAGAAGAGCCTTGAAAACACTTAAGCAGGTTCCTTCAGATATTTTCAAGGGTAATTGATGTTTTTCCTGTTCTGATTTCCCACCTTTCCCCACTCCCTCAAAACATTTATAGTACCCTAAATTCTTAACGGGGAATAAAGTTTTTCATTCCACCATTAGAGACAAAGCTTGGTAACCAAACCAGCTGACATAAGTAAAATAAAACTCTTTCTTTGGGTGATACTGGATCCTTTACTATTTTGATAGGAAGAGGAGGTAGGAGAATGGGGGGACCCTGTCATGAGAAGGCTTTCCAAAGAGGGAAAAGAAGCACATTAAATGATAACAAGAGAATCAACTACCATTGAGTATGTGTCAGGTTCTGTTCTAAGTGCTTTACATGAATTAAATTCAATTCCCATAGCACCCTGTATGAGGTATGTACTATTACTAATTCCCATTTTACAGATGAGGAAACTGAGTCACAGAAAGGTTAGGTAATTTGCTGAGGGTCACAGTGATAGGGCCAAGGTTTGAGTTCTGGCATTTCTAGCACTAGAGTCAAGGCTGAAAGAAAATTGGCTTAGAAAGAAAATGGCTCAAGAGACAAAACTTCCCTATGTGGTTGATGTTACCTAACATCAGCCTGTTTACTTCTGAGTGGCGTCCAATGAAGAGGCCTTTTATCTTGCCGCAAAGTTGTGTATCTGCTCCTTAAAGGAAGAGCAGTGCTGAAGGAGTTATCATGTTTAACCCTATGGAACATTTTGATACTTTCTTGGTCCCATGTGAGTACAGCTCTGCTGTCTGAATTAGTGATCCTGCTGCAGTTATTTAAGCTCTCTGTGCCTCTGAGTTCACATTTGGAAACTGGGTTATTTCCACTTTTCAGTTCCCTGACTCAGAGGAATGCACAGGGCTAAAGGGCATTCAAAGTGTTTTCAGCCATAAACTAGGACTAAGTGAACTTTTAGAGAACAGAATGACTTGGCAATGGTATTTAAATTGACAGAAAAGGGGGAATGGACAAAAGGGTGAAATGGATTAAGAGGTAAAAACTTCCAGTTATAAAATAAATGTCACAGGAATGTAAGGTATAGCATGGGGAATATAATCAATAATATCATAATGACTTTTGTGTAGTGACAGGTGGTTAGTCGACTTACCTGGTGATCACTTCATGAGTGGCGTCCAATGCAGAGGCCTTTTATCTTGCTGCAAAGCTGTATATCTGCTCCTTAAAGGAAGAGCAGTGCTGACTTTAGGTAACATCAACCACATAGGGAAGTTTTGCCTCTTGAGCCATTTTCTTTCTAAGCCAATTTTCTTTCATCCTTGACTCTAGTGCTAGAAATGCCAGAATTCATGAGGTATATAAATGTCAAATTACTATGTTATACCCCTGAGATTAATATAACATTACTTTTAATTACATTTTTTTATAAAGTACTAGAGGCGCAGTGCATGAAATTCATGCATGGGTGGGGCCAATCTGTGGGGTGAACTGCGGGGCAATCAGGGAGGGGCATGGGGGGACCCTGATGGCACCTGCCTTGGCTGGCCTGGGGCCTGTGAGCTGGGGTCAGCTCCTGCATTGAGCGTCTTCCCCCTGGTGGTCAGTGCGCATCATAGTGACTGGTCATTCCACCGGTCATTCTGCCATTCAGTTTATTTGCATATTAGGCTTTTATTATATAGGATAGTTAAGTAACTTTTTTAGTGGTCTTGGTTCAGCTGCCTAATCCAGTATGGCCGCCTAGATTCTCCTCCAGACTTATAAATGTGCATCTTTAATAGAGGATGGCTGTCTGGTAGATGTGGAAGATGCCCATATCGTCTGGAATTGTTAAAATTATCTAGAGATAAGAATTTCTAATTAATAATAAGGATCTTCAAGCCAGGACTTTGAAAGCCATTGCTTATCGGAAAAGATGAAAAGAACTGGACTCACTCCAAGAAAACTTTTAACCTAATAGCAAACACCATATGTTAGCATTCAGTTCAGATGATAGTGATCTAATTGACACCAACAAGGGCAAAATCAATTGCAATTTTTTTCTAAATTTACAAATAGATGTAGGTAAGAGGATGCTTTAGACAAAGAAAATGAGCACAGAAGGAGTCTCAGCTGTAGCTATGATTAAGGACCAGCACACACAAAAAGAAGTATAAAGCCAGGTTGTTATTTCTTAAGAAAAATGTTCCTAATTACAGTATCTACTGAAAATTTTCTCCCATTTTTTTAAACCATAGAAATATTAGATACCAAGCTATGTTAGTAGAAGGGTGATCACAATATTTTTTAGTAGGTGCAGTTATCAACACAATAATTTAACCTTGTGTTCATGGTTTCTAAGGGGCTTGCATCTCCAGGCCTGAGAAAGGAAGCAGGCATTGTGAGTTAATAAATAAACATGACCAGTAGGAACCAAGTGGACATTCGGGAGCAGAAATAAAGTCGATTAAAATAGTTTCCAAAAAGAGTTTGAGAGCAGGGGAAGGAAATCGAATAAATGACAAAAGGAAGGCAGTAGACAGTCAAGACCATACAGTGTTAAGAAACTAGAAATCTAAAACAAGGAAAATAAGAGAGTTTTCCAGAGTGCTGTTTCAAGTGTAAGCTACAACACATTTCAGAAAAATTTAGATATAAATTTGGTTTTAAGATGCTAAGCATCCTTCTTGGCAGTGTTTCCTCATATCTGCAGACTTTTCCCTTTCAGCACTCAAGGCCCTAGCTGGTCGTCACCAAGGGAAACTACGGGTGTAGATTCGCAGGAGTATTTGCTTCACCTTTACATGGGAAGATGTTTTCAGGTGTGAAGCTGGGAGAAGTAGTACCAGCACCTTCCTGTGACCCTTCTCCCAATCTCACTGAAGGCACTTTCTGCTTTTGGCTCTGCTTGCAAACATTACACAGCTTCACACTATCTTTGCCCAACTGAAAAGGTTCTTCTCAATAAATAGCCATGGGATTTGTTACGGAAAAGGTCATTTAGGTAAAATTGTGCTATCGTATGTTGCTATGTCCAAACTATAATAAGGTCATTGAAGGCTGCTACTGAGTAGTAAAGCATAAGGGAGAAAAGTGGTCATTTAATATTCTCATTTTAGGTGGAAATGTTCATTGCATTTGCTGAGAACTGGGGCGTAGGGGCTGGTGCTCCAAGTCCCTGTGCCAAAGCTTGTTTACAAGGAAGGGAAGGTGAGCTTCCTCACCCACACTCTGCGGCCGCCCCTCCCTGCCCTGGACTCAATAGGAGGAAGGGTGGAGTAGGCACAGGGTTTCGACAATGCTCCAGTTCTTTGCCCCCAAATATTTACTGAGACAGGTAATTCTTTAGAGAGGCCAAGTCTAACTTACAAAATCTGGCAGAGGGACAGGCAGAGAAGAACGTGCTCCCTCTGTTTGAGATGGTGCGCTCCATGGGCAAAAGCAGCAATACAGAAATACACACCCTCTTCACAATGATCACCCCTTGCAGACTCGGCTTCAGGGCAGCTAGCCTGTGTTGCTCCCACCCAGACATTCCTGGGTCTAATCCAGGCAGCTGTTTCCTCTGCTTGGAACAGCTTCTTTATTAAAATTTTACCTTTTCTTCTTAGATTCCTCTCCAGCCTTCTCCACGCCCCTCTTCCTGTGTTAAGTCTCTCCCACTTGTTCCAGCCCACGGCAATCACGTTGTTCTTTGGCTTCCTACACCACCCGCCTAGCAGTTGGTAATTTCTGTGGCATTTATCTCTCTATTCATTCAGTTCCCCACCCCCACCACCAGACTTTGCATGTAATAGTCAACCTTGAGCATGCCTGCCTCACGTTCATGTTTGTGTAATTTTTATACCTAAATGAAAGTTTCCCATGGTTAACACTTGCAATGTGGTAAATCCTTCATGTGTAACATTTTCAAACAGCACAGATTTTATTAGGAGGCATAAGAACTTGGACAGCTATGAAAGGAAAAATAATTAACTGGCTAAAGTGAGAGGAGCAAAGAATGGGTTCCTTAAACCCAGACAGGGGTGACCAACTCGCCCAGTTTACCTGGAACTTTGACAGTTTTAACACTGAAAGTCCCGTGTCCCGTGCAACCCCTTAGTCTCCTACCAGGTGGCCAATGAGCATTTCGGCACGAAGCAAGTGTACGCGTTGTATAATGGACGGAGCCTTCTTTCTCCCCTCTCATCTCAGATCCTGGTGCCAGGAGCCTCTCCAAGGACACCGCACCCTCTGGTGACTGGGGGAGGAGCAGGTAACAAGGCCTGGTTCCCAATAAGGAAGCCTGGGTTCACTCGGCTCTCTTCACTTCAGAAGCGATCTCAGCCCTGGGAGGACATCAGTCAAGGGAAAAGGCTTTCCACAGAGTTCTCCCAAAACGGAAACTAAAAGGGACATTTGGAACAGGAAACTGTAGCCTTCACAGTATTATTCCCACAGGCAAAGTCGAAGGCACAGTCTGAGGGAGGCAAATGTCAGGATCCAGGAGGACTCCAACCTAGGCTTGCAAACCGGGCCTGCTCACTGCGCTGCCAGAGCATCTCTCTGGTAATGTTCCCCCACAGTCAATCCAACTGCGACGACTGGAGTGCAGAGACTCACCAGAAGGCTGGCACCTAGGACTGTGAATGCATCTGAATGTGGCAGCACGCAGCAGAATGTAGTAACACATTCTGAGCAGCTAAACCTCCTATACTACAGACAGCGCACATTTTGAAAACTAAAATGGTCCTAAATAATTATAACAATCACGACATCATTAATAATAGTATACACAAAAATCAATTCGAGCTCTACAGTTCGTATAATCATGGGGATTTATTCCATAATAAAATGATAACGACGTTAAGAATTTTAATCTGCATAATGTATAACAGTAATTCCGAACAATAAAAGCATAATTGGGAAATGGCGATTTTACTGCCTGAATCACGGTTCATCACTCAAGAGTAAGATGGAGCTGATTTCCTGAAGTACAGGTTTCTGTGACTGAAAAATGCTCGTGCACACCTTGACACCCATGCTGGCAGGCAGGTTGGTCCGGGGCTGAAATTTAGGGCATATGGTGTAGGGATATGATTTTACCACCAGAGGGTATTCTTTCCTCCTCTGGGTTGTTTATATAACAACAAACCCGAAATCAGCCTCTACTAAAATTGGGCCAGGCCAGATCATAGGAAAGTGAATTAATTTATAATATTCACACAAATACTCTCTTGTCCTTTCATATTAGAGAGGGTTTGGTTAAGAGAATCATGCTGGCAGCAAGCAAGCCAAACTACCCAAACTGTAAAAAACAGATTACAGTTCTTCTGCTGGTCAAAACAAGAGAATGGTCACTTATGAAATTGCCCAGGTAGCTATTTCCAATTGTCCTTGTAGTGCAGGAGTTTCAGGTAAACAAAGCAGAAGGAAGTTCAGGGATTTCAGGGTTAGCATGCCTCTGGCTTGAATTTTTATCTAAACTGATTTACAATTGAAAAAGGTTGAAGACCTATTTCAGACCAGAAAGCCTAGGAAAGTTACCAGAGCTATTTGACAACTTTCAAAGTCCACCAGGGGATGTGTCCCAGCCCATTAATAGACTAAGTTTAGAAAGCAAGGCCCTGGAATGGTGCCCCAGGAACATGCCCAGGGGAGTCAGTTTTAATCCAGCCAAATGCTGACTCTGGAAAAAGGAAGGCTAGCCTCTCTGCTCACTCTCTGCCAGAAGCTCTGTCAGGAAGAAAGGCTGTGAAGTTGAGAAATATGGGATATTAGGTCATCTGCCCCGCTGAACGCAAGTTCAACAAATACAAACTTCAAGAAAAAAAATAGTTCCATTTTATTTTTTAAGTGATCAAAAATAATACTTGTTCATTGCTAAAACTTCAAATAATGTAGAGGATAAAGTGAAAAGTGAAGGACTTTCCTCTCACATTCAGCTCCCTCCCATCAACTCCCCTCACCAAAAATACTCACTCTGGATAATTTTCTCATATTTTTCAGGGCTTCCTATTTTCATGAATTAAAAGAAAAGAAAAGAAACTTGATCAGTCTATCTGCCTGGCACTCTTATCTATTCATCCCATGCGTCCATCAATCACCCAACTGCGTTTGATCTTGCTTTCACAAAAAATGAGATCCTAAAATATATGTTCTACTTGAGTCATTCATTCCACATATCGTTGAATTCTTCCAAGTCTACTTCATTCTTTTTAGTAGTGACACAGAGTTGTTCCAATATATGGATGTTTCATAGCTTTAATTAATCCATGACCTATTGATGGGTATTTGTGTTGTTTCCAATTTCTTTCTCTATTATAAAAATGCTATAATAAAAATTTTTAATATTTATTTACTTATTATCTAAGGTTTTACATGTCTCCCTTTCCCCTGATTGACACCCCTCCCCTCCAAACAGCCATTTCCACCCCAGGCAAGCCCCTACCATCCCAGTGTCTGTGTCCATTGGTTATGCTAATATGCATGCATACAAGTCCTTTGGTTGTTCTCTAAATCCCCTCTCCCCTGCCATTTGTCTCTGGATCTATACTTGTTGATCATTATATCCCACATATGAGTGAGATCATGTGATATTTATCTTTCTCCAACTGGCTTATTTCGCTTAGCATAATGCTCTCCAGTTCCATCCATGCTATTGCAAATGGTAAAGATTACTTCTTTTTTATAGCAGCATAGTATTCCATTGTATAGATGCACCAACATTTTTTAATCTACTCATCTTCTGTGGGCACTTAGGTTGTTTCAAATCTTAGCTATTGTAAATTGTGCTGCTATGAATATAGGGGTGCATATATCCTTTCTGATTGGTGTTTCTGGTTTCTTGAGATATAGTCCTAGAAGTGGGATCACAAGGTCAAATGGCAGTTCCATTTTTAATTTTTTGAGGAAACTCCATACTGTCTTCCACAGTGACTACACCAGTCTGCATTCCCACCAGCAGTACACGAGGGTTCCTCTTCCTTCACATCCTCTCCAGCACTTGTCATTTGTTGATTTGTTGATGATAGCCATTCTGACAGGTGTGCAATGGTATCTCATAGTTGTTTTGATTTGCATCTCTCTGATGATTAGTGACTTTGAGCATGTTTTCATATGTCTCTCGGCCTTCTGTATGTCCTCTTTTGAAAAGTGTCTATTTAGTTCCTTTGCCCATTTTTTGATTGGATCATTTATCTTCCTTTTGTTAAGTTGTATGAGTTCTCTGTAAATTTTGGAGATTAAACCCTTATCTGAAATATCATTGGCAAATATATTCTCCCATGCAGTGGGCTTTCTTGTTGTTTTGTTGATGTTTTTTTTTGCTGCGCAGAAGCTTTTTATTTTAATGTAGTCCCATTTGTTTATTTTCTCTTTAGTCTCCATTGCCCTAGGACAGTGATGGCGAACCTATGACACGCGTGTCAGAGATGACACACCGAAACATTTTTTTTGGTTGATTTTTCTTTGTTAAATGGCATTTAAATATATAAAATAAATATCAAAAATATAAATCTTTTTTATACTATGGTTGTAAATATCAAAAAATTTCTATATGTGACATGGCACCAGAGTTAAGTTAGGGTTTTTCAAAATGCTGACACGCCAAGCTCAAAAGGTTCGTCATCACTGCCCTAGGAGCTGTGTTGGTAAAGATATTGCTATGACATATGTCTGCTCTTTTGCTGTCTATGGAGTCTTGTAGGATTTTTATGGTTTCCCATCTTACATTTAAGTCCTTTAACCATTTGAGTTTATTTTTGTGTATGGTGTAAGTTAGTGATCTAGTTTCCTTTTTTTTTTTTTTTTTTCATGTATCTGACGAGATTGCCCAGCACCTTTTATTGAAGAGACTGTCTTGATTCCATTGTATGCTCTTGCCTCCTTTGTCAAATATTAATTGAGCATAATGGCTTGGGTTGATTTCTGGGTTCTCCATTCTGTTCCATTGGTCTACTAGTATGTGTCTGTTCTTGTGCCAGTACCAGGCAGTTTTGAGAATCGTGGCATGGTTATGTAGCTTGATATCTGGTATTGTGATCCCTCCAACTTTGTTATTCTTTCTCAGGAATGCTGTGGCTATTTAGGGTCTTTTTTTTATTCCCAATGAATTTTTGGAGAGTTTGTAGATCTTTGAAATATGCCATTGGTATTTTAATGGGGATTGCACTGAATCTGTAGATTGCTTTGGGTAATATGGACATTTTAAAGATGTTGCATATCCCAAACCATGAAAATGGTATGTTCTTCCATTTGTTTATGTCTTCCTCTATATCTTTTTTCAATGTCCTGTAGTTTTTTGAGCACAAATCTTTTACGTCCTTAGTTAAGTTTATTCCTAGGTATCTTAATTTTTTGGTGCAATGGTAAATGGGATTGTTTTTTTTTTTTGGCTTCTCTTTCTGTGAGTTCATTATTATTGAATAAAAAGGTTATAGATTTCTGGGTGTTAATTTTGTATCCTGCTACATTGCCAATTTCATTTATTAGGTCTAGTGGTGTATTGATGGAGTCTTTGGGATTTTCTATGTATAGCATCATGTCATCTGTGAATAAGGACAGTTTACTTCTTCTTTTCCAATTTGGATGCCTTTTATTTCTTCTTCTTGTCTGATCGCTATGACTAGCACTTCCAGTACTATATCAAACAGGAGTGGTTAAAGTGGGCATCCCTGTCTTGTTCCTGTTATTAGGGGAAATGCATTTAGTTTTTGCTCATTGAGTATGATGTTGGTTGTCGGTTTGTCATAAAAGGCTTTATTATGTTGAGGTGTGATCACTCTATTCCCACTTTGCTGAGAGTTTTTATCAGGAAAGGGTGTTGGATTTTGTCAAATGCTTTTTCTGCATTGATTGATATGATTATGTGATTTTTGTCTCTCAATTTGTTTATGTGATGTGTCGCATTTATCGATTTGCAGATATTATACCATTCTTGCATCCCCAGAATAAATCCCACTTGGTCATGGTGTATCATCTTTCTAATGTAATGCTGAATCTGATTTGCTAGAATTTTGTTGAGAATTTTAGCATCTATGTTCATCAAGGATATTAGCCTGTAGTTTTCTTTTTTTGTGGCATCTTTATCTGGTTTTGTAATTAGGGTAAAGCTGGCTTTATAGAAAGAGCTTGGAAGTGTGCCTTCCTCAGAATAGTCTGAGGAGATTAGGTTTTAGTTCTTCTTTGAATACTTGGTAGAACTCCCCTGTAAAGCCATCCAGAACAGGGCTTTTGTTTGCTGGAAGATTTTTGATCACTGCTTCAATTTCTTTGGTAGTTATCGGCCTACTCAGGTTTTTTTATTAGTCCTGATTGAGTTTTGGGAGCTTGTATTTTTCTAAAT